TTTAGCTATTGAGTTAGTCTTTGGAGCATAATAAACATTCATTAAATAGTTTGTGTGTATAGAAAGAAAAAAGATAGAGGAAGGCGAGATTGACATTATTATTATCATTGTCACTACTATAAGGTGTAAAAGGAAAAGCAGCCCCTGAATCTTCAGGCATCATACACTCAGCTAAGATATTGTACCTTATTAGTATTTTAGTTTGCCTTTAATTCTGTGTGGATTTCTGTAGTGACCACTTTATCATAGTAACATAAATTGGGTGCCTTCCTTGTTCTTTCTTTTTGCTGGTATTTCTGAGTTGATTTTATTCTGCTTAAATAAAAGGACTGGAATAACCAGTGTCATAGCTATGACAGATTTGGGGACCTTGGCATGCTTAGATTTAGAGAGATGTAATCTAAAAAGAATGTGATATAAACCTCCTTAACTACATTGCTTTAACAAAGGTGTATTTACAAATAATTCCAAAATACATCAAATTAAGATACTTATAGAATTGTTATAAATTCATAAAATGATGAATAATTTTAATTAGAGTTTAAAATGTTTCTAAGTACTTTAACAAATGTTTCTATAAACTGTACTATAATTCTAGAATAAGGTTACTGCTTATTACTGTCACTGTTCATAACATTTTGATTTTCACTTTGCAAATGTCTGTGAGTCATTGTATAAATTTTTGGAACTACTAAAGCCAATAAGTATCTTTCAGGATTGGCATGATTTCTAATATCTTTTCCTGTCACTTTTCAGAGGGAGAAGGACAATGAATGTAGATTAAAGGTAGTACAAGAGTTAGAAATATAGATATAGTCAAAGAAAATTCCATGAGAAAATACTTCTAACTTGAAAATGTTTTGAATATATCTTTAAACGTCTATCTTGGCATCAAAGATGGTAAATTCCTTGAAGAAAATATTCCTTTTAAGAACTGGGTAGACTCATCCTGAAACAGACAGTTAAAGTGCTTATTCTTGACCATCATAAAAAGGAAAGTTCCTGTTTGTCAAAAACACATTCAAAGCTCTCATCAGGAAAAGCTTTGTGATCTGACACTGTCCAGACTAGTGACTTCGAAACATTTCAAGGTAAGACATTCCTTAAGTTATGAATAATATCTCAGTGGTGACTGAGTTCATCCTTCTGGGCATCCCTCACACAGAGGGTCTGGAGACCATGCTCTTTGTCCTGTTTCTGTCCTTCTATGTCCTCACCCTTATGGGGAACATGCTCATACTCCTCGCAATTGTCTCCTCCATGAAGCTTCACACTCCCATGTATTTCTTCCTGTGTAAGCTGTCTATCTTTGACATATTTTTCCCTTCTGTGAGTTCTCCCAAGATGCTGTTCTACCTCTCAGGAAGCAGCCGAGCCATCTCCTATGGAGGTTGTGTATCCCAGCTCTTCTTCTACCATTTCCTGGGCTGTACTGAGTGTTTCCTATACACAGTGATGGCCTATGACCGCTTTGTGGCCATTTGTCACCCTCTACGCTACTCCATAATCATGAGCCACAAAGTATGTGCCATCCTCGCCACAGGGACGTCATTTTTTGGCTGCATTCAGGCCACCTTTCTAACTACTCTCACTTTCCAGTTGCCCTACTGTGGTCCCAATGAGGTGGACTATTACTTCTGTGATATCCCTGTGATGCTGAAGCTGGCTTGTGCAGACACATCAGCCTTGGAAATGGTGGGGTTCATCAGTGTGGGCCTCATGCCCCTCACCTGCTTCCTTCTCATCCTCACCTCCTACAGCTTCATTGTCTTCTCCATCCTGCAGATCCGCTCTGCTGAGGGCAGACGTAAAGCCTTCTCCACCTGCAGTGCCCACCTCACTGCCATCCTGCTTTTTTACATGCCAGTTGTCCTCATCTACCTAAGGCCAACTCCAAGTCCTTGGCTTGATGCAACTGTTCAGGTCTTGAATAACCTGGTCACCCCTATGTTAAACCCATTGATATACAGCCTCAGGAATAAAGAGGTGAAATCATCACTGTGGAGGTTCTTACATCCGCCAGGGTTCATTCCTGAGCAGTTGTAAAGAAACACCAGTATAGAATACTTCAGGTATATATTATAGGTGATATAGCATTTTTATTTGGTTTTCATAAATATTTTTAATTGTCCTATTTTAGTACACTAGGGACTAAAAGACAACGGATTAAAATGGTTTGTTCAAGGATGATTAGGGAATGAAAGGCTCATCTTATAACTCTGGGCCTTAGCTCTCGCATGAACATTATACTATGGAAAAAAGAAGGGAATTTAGCCTAGCAGGCAAAACAACCTCAGCTTCTTCTTTTCTATTTAACTTTCTTCATATTTTTTCATCCATCCTCCTTTTTTTTTTTTCTCTCTCGGGGTGGTATATTTCCATCTAGAGTACAGTGACGGTTTCCTCAAATATCTGCATTAGATAAGCTATCTTATAATCAGTCTAACATGTACCAAATATATTAAAACAACTACATTCATATAGCTTCAAGAAGCATTACCTCTAAGAGAAAAATATCTGGCCAGGATTAAATATAGGTATCAGGAGAAGCAGACTTACCAGTATGCTAGAATCACTTGGAAACCATGCTACTTGGACTTAGATATGGAAACAGGCATTAGCTATTAACAATGAGTGAGAAGAGAGAAAGGATAGAAGCAGTCCTTGGAGAGGAGACTATGCTGTGATTCCATGTTAGAAGTGCAAGACTTCCCTTATCCTTGTTTGACAGAGTCAGGAGCAGCACTGGGTCTGAGCTATTGCTTCGTTATGTCTTTGACTTCTCTATTTACTGGAAGTGTTAAGCTTTGGATTACCTCTCTCTATTTGCTGATTTTTATTTTGGCTGCCTGTGCTATCCATAGTGTGCACTTTCCATCTCTCAAGCTCTTCATTCATGACCAAATGAATCAATAAATCTACCTTGTTTGGGGAACAAGCTGCTATTAGACTTGTTTCAAGAATGATATAGTAAAGAAAGATACCAGAAGAATGTGATGTAAGAGGCTGGCAGCAGCACAGAATCTTCCTTCTGTCTGCTTTGCTTGCTATCAGAGCGCAGCCAAGCAACCTGCTGGACTAATCCAGCATGACCTCTCTGACTCCAGCCACTCAACTGAGTAGGTAAGGTGTTGTTTAAAGGTAGCAAACCTGTTCCCGGGTCAATACTCTTAAGTCCCTGAAAGCCTTTCCAGGTGCTGCTTTCTGTGTGTTTATAATTCTTTTTTAAAAAGAATCTAAAGAGGAATTTGGGAATGCATGTGAAAATATTTCAAGTTTAGTTTATGTCAAATGTTTATCAAGCCCAAACATGCTCATTCTTCCTGTTCTATAGTTTTCTGGCTGTAGTTTCTCAGACAGGCAGAATAATCTGAATGAATAAAGATGGATCCTGCGTATGCTTCATCGTCACACATTCAGACTTCACTTGCTGAATGACTTTGCTAAGATTTGGGAATGCAAAGGTGAAGTTTCCAAATCCACCTGCTGGTAGTGATTTTTAGTGAAAATGAGCAGACATTCAATGAATTAGAGTGCAGGAATTATATTATGACATAGGTAGATGTGGTCTTTTTTCTGAAGCCAGGGACGAGTTACACAGAGAAGTTGATGATAAAGATTTCTCTGTCTGCAGGTTGTAGATGAAGAACAGTGAAGGAGTACTAACCAGGGAAAAGTGACACAGTTTTCCATCTTTTTGGGGTGGTGTGTGTGAGCGACGATTCCTTGACTGGTATCACTTAAGTATTTGCCATGTAGGAGGGACTGTTATTTGAAGACAATAAAATCCATTATACCTTCTGTTCATTTGGTTTGTATCTAGCTCAGCATCTTCTTCTTGGACTGGATGATTGGTTTGCATGAAATGAATCTTATCTCCATAAAGAAACTGATATCTTTATTTATTTTAGATTTTTAAAAAAATACCAGAAGCTCTTATGTCTCCATGTAGACTCTGAGCTATCTCTCTATGTAAGTAGGACTCTGGAGTGCCAGGCCAAGGTGGGAAATGTGAAGATCAAGGCTGGGTTTGCTGGTGGGATGAGAATTTTGTTGGTGTTGTTGAGCCTATCAGTTTGAGTTTTCCTCTTTAAATTTGTTTTTATTGAATTTTTATGTATATCATATAGAACATCTCAAACAACCTCAATCATCCTTAGAACTCTGTCCCCATTGGCACCCTACCATAACCCTCCCAGTGGAGCCCATGTACCCTGTCATCTTTGTTATGGCCCATTGTGTCAAGTCAGTGTGGAAAGATATTTTATTTTTTTTTTGTCTTTTTGAAGCAGGGTCTCCCTGTAGCCCCAGCTGTCCTGGAACTCACTATGTAGACCAGGCTGACCTTGAACGAACAGAGATCCACCTGCCTTTGCCTCCCAAGTGCTGGGACTACAGGCGTGCGCCACCATGCCCGGCTGGGAAGATATTTTTAAGGATCATAAAGATTGATATAATCAAAAGCCTTTGCTATATGGAAAAGTTTTGACAGGATATTCCTCCAACCGTGTAGCCAAATAGGTAGAACATAGTCTATATGGGTAGATCAAGACATTGCTCTATAGAGGCAGATACAAAGAGCCAAAGTTCAGACCAAGGAAATCAAGCAAGGACAAGAACATTAAAGAACAGATTCAGGAGATACTGATCAGGATGTGCTTCAGTGGCAACATTTCCCAAGTCAGTGGCTTCAAGAATGACTAAGGATGATCTAAACTAAAGCCCACATAGATTATAGTTTTATTCTTTTCTCTCCTCTATAATAATTTCTACAAGATTCTTTGCACTCTCCACTCACCCATTTTTGCTTCCCTCTAAATGTGTAAGAAAACAGATTCATGACGTGAATTTGACCTGTCTCTTTGTTTTATCTGCTGCCCCGGAAGGAAAGATTCTGATTTAGGCATCTCTTGACAGTGCTTCCCAGCAGGGCTGAAGTGACTCTTACCGACATGCATAACTAGGTCAGTGGGAGAGGTTTCAGTGAGTACCTGTGGGAATCTAGGCCTGTTCTGATTATTACTTGCTCTTCTTAGGACCCTGAAGATTTGTTCTATATCAAACTGGTTGAAATTAGTGAGCAAAAAATCAGTAATAAATGTTTCCAGTGACTCATATGTGATTCTTTTCTTTGAGAATATAAGTTTTACAAAATTGAATTTCCAAGATGAGAGAAAAGTATCATCCCATTACAGTGTGCTGCAATGTTTACTGAGAGTGAGAGAGCAATGTTTCTTGTAACTGATAGAAAGTTTAGAAGGTGGGAAACAGGGCAGCCTCAGACATATCTCATGCCTCTATTCCCCCTTTCAATGTTTTTGATCTCATTTTCAATCGTATTTCCATGATATCCTGTAATAATGATAACACGGAAAATTAATCAGCCATCATCCTGTTGGAGATCATTCTGTTCATCAAATAGTAAACCATGAGAAAATAGTGTCAATGCATACCATGCTAAGTGTAAAGGATTATGATAACATGGGCATATTGCCTCACTAACCACTGAGGGAAAAGGTAATGTGGGAAATTGCCAACAGAACTGGTCTAATCAGACATGATGTCCTTCCTTCTCTATAGAAGTCATCTTTCTCTTAAATTGTATGTGTTTTCTTTGTTTTCTTTTACTTTATGGTATATGTTTGTATTCCTAAATATTTATTATAAGATGTTGAGCTTTTTATTGATATATTCCTGTGAAAATTGCTTTCTTTTCTTTAATGCTACTTTGTAATATTTGAACATGTGTGTGTCTGAAATTAACTTGCTATTACCAAAGTATAACAGCCCAATATAAAAGTGCCTTGACTTTGTCTCTGTATAGTTTCTCATTGTAACAATGTATCAGTATTCCGTTTTATTTATAAATAAATAAGCATGGATTTCTAAAGTGTAAGAAATCCTTTTATGAAATTAATACAATATTTTGGTGAGTTGTTTATACCTCTCCTACAGACACGCATGGTACAAAAAAAATCACCAACCTCTTTCTGATTTGGTTCCGATTGGGAGAAGGGAAATTTGGCAATTTTATTTAGTTTGGATTTTTCAAGTAGCTTACACTGGCATGAGATTTAGGAATCTATTTATGATTCATTTGATAGTAAGCATAGTAAGACAATGGAATAGCAAGATAAGATGCAACAGTTAGTTAACCCAGTATCTGTGGCTTAACACTATTGGGAACTGAGGCTCCATTTCCCTGGGGATCTTTTGAGTGATACTCTAGAGCAACTTTCAAGCTATTCCACTGCCTCAGATTTATTAGTAGGTCTACCTTGGAATGATAATTATCTGACATTTTTAACCTGTTTATATAGGCTGAAAGAAGCATTTTCCCCCCAGTTGTCTCAGATAGTGTATATGGAAGTCTCTTAGTGCATAAAAACACACTTTGAAGATGACCTCAGGAGTAGGCTGAGGGAATATGGACATAACTTGAAGATGTCTCTCCATTAGTTAATTAGTGGTATGAGTACTAGGGGCTAACTAAACACTTTCTGATAGGATTTGAGGCCTCTTACAAAGGAGGGAATTTCATACTTGATCCTGTAATTCTGGCCAAAAGCCTATGGCTAGGAAGGTCATAGGCACATGAGTAGAACCTGCTATTGTTACTTTGCTAAATGGTCATGTTGTCAAAGTGTGTTCTAAATATTTATGTTTGTGTCCATAGACATGGGCTGCTCTCTAATTTTGTCAGTGCAGCTTCTTTTTGCATAAGCAGCAGTCAATTTTTAGATACATAATTGGTCTAAGTGCTGAGAATAAGAGACTAGGTGGTCTTAATAACATAATCCCTAAATAGGCCACCTCTAGCCCCACCCACCCCACCCCAACTCAGGCTTAAGGAACATGGCAGATGAGGAGGCAGAAAGAATGTAAGAGCTGCAGGATGGGGAGGAGTTCTGTGAAATGCTGTCTTCTAGGCACACCATGGCTATCAAATCTATTAACTCATGTATTCACAGCTATTGTGATTACCTGTACAAGACCTGCATATGATAAAGCCAGCAAAATACCAGCATAAATGGGGGAGGTCCCTC